GTGGTTGTCTTCTTATTTTACTTGGGCTCACTTGATGCTCAAAGAGGTTTCACTCTGATGGAAGTTTTCATTTGATCAGGTTTTCACTGTCTGCATGAATATATATAATCACAGCTAAAATATATGTCCAATATATTGGTTAGTCTTTGATTCACATGACCCTTCTCTTTTAAATTGCTCACATATATGCTTATTCACCATGGCCTTAACCATAATTCCATGTTAAGTGCAATCCTACAAAATGCAATGGAAAAAAATAAGAAAAAATAAATGGGCAGAGATTTAGGAAAAGAAGACATGTCAGATAAAGTTTAACAATAATTAGAAGCAAAGCTCAGCAAATAATTGAACCTCCACAAATATATGTTGGTAAATTATTAGCTATCCCGTATTTCTCATGTTATAAGCAAAAAACTTCTACTGTAGTGTAGCATTCTCCTTATCACCCAACTATAGTGTTTGCCCAACCCAAAATAACCCATTTGGTGGGTTTGTATTGGCAATCATTCCTTGTTGGTACCTGGGTTCACCTCAGGAAGACATTATGAAGTCTCTTCTCCTCCTTCTTTATAGGTCAGGCAAATTCTGAAAAACGCAGTATGAATCCGTGATATCACCAAGACTTTCAGTATCTCTCAGTAAGCAATTAGACTCTGTCAGCTGTTGATTGTGTAAACAGAAATGACACAGGCATATGGGAAAAGGTGTATCTTCAAGGGAAGTACCCAGGACTTGTAATCATTCAACACAGATCCTGTGTTCTCACTCATCACACCTGCCAATTAGCAAATTTAAAAGTTACTGGCACAGTTGAAGGACGGAGGAGGGAGAGTACTACAGAAAAGATAATTAATGCAAAGGAGAAGAATTTTTTGTGAGATTTCATCAAATGACATCATATCACATTTAAATTATTTTCTTATGTAAATCTGTTCTGAATGGTATGGATAAATGTGAATGCAATTGCTTCCCAAAGAAAATGGCATTTCATATAGTGTATTTTATATATATAAATACACAAACATAATACATCTGAAATTAAATACAGGACACTAAAACATTTTGGGAATCTGAACAACAGACTACCCAAGCTCATGTGTAAATCTAAAAACTCTTACAGATTCCTTTAAATCATGATTCAGGCACCCTAAACTTTTTGATGGGCAATACTATGTTAATACCCATGCAAAGATGGCAGCTGAAATGATCTAAATTATCTTCATTAAATTCTGTGTTTAACAGAAATTAAATTTATGTTTAACAGAAAAGACATAGTCATATGTCCAGAAAAGCTGTGGATGCCCCAAGTCTGAAATTGTTTAAAGTCAGATTGGATGGGGCTCTGATCAAACTGTTTAATGAAAGCTGTCCCTGTCCATAGCAGGATTGGAATTAGATGATGATCTTTAAGATCTCCTCCAATTCAAATCATTCTATGATTCTATGATTCTCATTAAGCACTATCATCATCACTTATCCATTACTAAATAAATACAGAGAGAAATCAAAATAATGCATGTTCTAAATCCAAGCTTATATCACAGCTCAAGTGCAGGCTTGATGTCTGATATCTTCTGGTAATAAGAATGTAATCTTTCATCCAAATGTTTGGTGTTGAATTTGGAACTGCCTCTCACCCCTCTTCACCTGCTTGATGATATCCTAATGAAGATGTGAATTTTCTGTTATGTGATTTCATCTCTTCATGAATATACAACATACTATAACAGTATGTTCTACATTTAAAACACTTCTGCTTTCCTATTTGATACACTAAAGCCTGGACAAAGACCATAAATTTTCCTTGATTTATTTCTTTCAGGTTTTTTGCTCCACACAAACAGTGTTTGAGGATTATCTTTCTCTTAATCTCAAAACTAAATTGAACACCCATACTGTCTCATCTACAATGAAAATATTTTTATCTGTTTTCTCTTTGCTGACTCTGTTCATGGCCCAGTCCCAAAATCTGGTTTCTTTGTTCTCCTGCTGGAAAAGTGCTTTCTGAAAGTATCAATTATTATCATTTATTATCAACAATAAACTGGTCAGATTATTATTTTCCTCCAAGATAAAAATTAGGCAGGTAAAAAAATGAGGAGCTCTAAAATAGAGCAATTCAACAACAAAACTGAAACTTCATTCAGAATACATACCTAGAATGTCAAATCCCCAATTCACCAGTATCTGACTAAATATAAAATCATAAAAGTTTTGATAAAGAAGAAGCAAAAGGGACGATTTTAAAAGAAATTATGGTTTTATTGACTAGGAAAGATGGATAGGATATGATAGGATAGGATAGGATAGGATAGGATAGGATAGGATAGGATAGGATAGGATAGGATAGGATAGGATAGGATAGGATAGGATAAGTCCAGGTGGAGGGGATCCATAGCAATAATTTAGTCTAACCTTGATGCCACTTCAGGGCAGATCAGGGCCAAGAGTAATAGCATGTTATTAAGGGCATAGTTCAAATGCCTTTTTAACACTGACAGGCTCCTCTCTAGGAAGTTGGTTCCAGTGTTTTCCCACCCTTGCTGTAAAGAAATACCTGCTAATGTTAAATTTGAACCTCCCCTGATGCAGCTGTGAACCAATCCCACACATGCTGTCCTTGGATAACAGGAGAAGAGCTCAGCACATCCCCCTGCTAGTGTCTTTCCCCAGGAAGCTGTAAAGGGATTGAGATCTCCTCCCAGCCACCTTCTCTCCAAACAAGACAAAAAAAGAGTTCTCAGCCACTCCCTACAGGACACTCCTTCCAGCCCTTTCACCAGCTTTGTTGTCCTCTGAAGATGCATCCAAGGATCTTGATATCCTGAAGTGATGGGGCCCAGAACTCCACCCAGTGCTGAAGGTGGGGCTGAACTCTGAACTCAGTGGGACAATCACCTCTTTTGAGCAGCTGGCAAGGCTGGGTTTGGTGATCCCAGGATGGGCTTTGCCCTCCTGGCTGCTGACTCACATGGAGCTGCTGTCACCCAGCACCCCAGATGCCTTTCTGCAGGGCTGCTCTCCAGCCACTCCCCTCCTGATTCATACTTGTGCCTGGTGTTACTCCATACCAGGTGCAGAAACTGGCACTTTTTTCTTGTTAAGAGGCATTAATGTCTCCACAATGCTCCAGTCTCTTTAAATCTCTCCACAAGGCTCCTTGTTCCTTGAGAGAGTCGGCAGTATCTCACAGTTTGGTGTCATCAGCAAATTTTCTAATTGTGCATTCAACTGGATCATAATAAAGGTATGGAACAGAACTGGTTCTGGAATTGAACCCTGAGGAGCACTGCTGGTCACCATCTGAGTGTCACTATCTGAGTGTCCATTGCAACCCTTTAAGCCCTGCTCCACAGCCAGTTCTCTTCCCAGAGCACCACATACCTGCCTGTCTTACAGCTGGACAACTTGTGCAGAAGGGTTCTGTGAGGGACGGTATCAAAAGCTTTATCAAAATCCAGAAAAACTACATCCTACATCTTCCTTCATTCACTTAAAAGGTGATCTTATCATAGAAGGATATCAAATGAGTTAGACATTTTTTTCTCAGCTGTATACCCAAGAGCTGATTTTGAAATTTGAATTCATTTTATTTAAAGGGTACAGAAAGTATACAACCAGAGTTGTACTTGAGTGCCTCTGGAGCAGGACTAAACCCAAGCTCAACAGACAGCAGAAGGCAGGGGTAAATATATGGAGTTCACTACACTAACAGCTCAGTTTGATTTCTTTTAGTGGTTCCCATGGCAATAATACTACATTACTGTCACAATGCAAACAGTGTTATTGGACATAGTCCAGTGGCACATCTGATTAATGCATGTTATCTGAACATGTATCTGAACTCGATGTGATAGAAATGGCAATTCCTCCATTTTTCCTACTAGTTTGATCCAATGGCTAATCAACTACTGTGATAATACTGTGTCTCATTTCCCAGGTTACCTGTCTGGTTTAAATTCCCAGTCAGTTAAACTAAAGAGTTTTTAATATCTAATATTTCTTCCCTATGATGGCACTTATCCCCAAGGATCAAGTCACTTCTCATTCATTGCTGCATTAATGGAACCTGGATGGTGACAAAAGGCACTTTAGACTGAAGCCAGGTAATTCTCTGTGGAATTCAAATGAATTCTGCTCTTCAAACAAAACCAAAAATATCTTTAGTTGAGGGGAGGTGATCTGCAAAAAATATAGGAGCCATTTGTGTGACCTGTTGATCAGCACCAAGCCTAACAAGAGAATGATAATGTAAACCTTCAGAGAGGTTTTTGCTCTCTACCAGTCTGCCAGAATAAGCCTACTCTTACCTAAATTCACGAAGATTAGTGTGTTTCAGTCAGGACTGGGCCCATCCTTACATACTCATCCTCCATGTCCACAAGGACAGATAAGAATCTCTTGCTTCCTCATAGCTGGCAGCGCCACTCCTCTCCCAGGAGCAGTTCATGGGCATCCTTCTCCCCTTGTAAATAACCACTTCTGGGAGCACAAAGGAGTCATCCTCCATAATTAAGACCTAATTCAATACCCACTGAAATCAATGGATGTTTTTCCACTGACTTCAGTGTGCTTCCACCTGAGCCCTGAAACCAACAATCGTCTGGTGACATTTGTGTTATATTAACCCAGCCTTTAGGAAGTGTATTGAGGTCTTCAACTTATTTCACATAAGCCACCAAACAGTAATAATTTTCAGACAGTGTCAACCTGACCCAGATTTGAACTGGCAATCTGGAGCTAGAAAGCACTATAATCCATTGCTAGCCCTGTGAACCATCTGGTCACAAAATCTTGAGCAACTTATATGGTACTTAGTCACTGAGTAGCTTATTGAGACTTGTATGGCAAAAACAGAATTAGTCTATGGGTGTACATGTACGTATTTAAACATAATTAAGAGTTTTCTCTCATCAACATAAGTACTAATAAAAGACACTGATTATCCATTCACTACTGTGCAATAAAAGATTTTTACAAGTTTTTTATTAGAGTGACAATTCGTATGAAAAACACAAGGACCTAGGGTAAAATCCTAACAAAGTCGCCGTGATCCCCTAGTCAAGCACATGGATATTTTTGCAAGAGTCCCCAGCAATTCCTGTGGGTGTTTCTTTTGAGTACAAAAATGCTTAGTCAGAGACATTATTTTTTGCAGTTTTACAAGGAATTAATTTCATTTTTGCACTTTCCCACCAAGAATTGAGCTTGCTAGTTACACACAGAATATATTAATTTCTATCACCATCTCATGCTTATATTTCACAGAAAAGACAAGGGATGCAGCTTTCCTCTGTTTTGTACTTTAACCACTTGTCTGTATTTAAGTAAAATGAGTGTCAAAGGCTACTAGCTTAAATGATGCCATTTAAAGTTCATTTTTCAGATGTATAAGTGACTAAAGCATGGAAGCCAGTGAAAAATCAGATCCAGAGGGAGCTTTGTACATTTTGGATCACAAGTTTGTTCATTAAAGGTTGTCTTTCAGACAAAAAGTATTTAGTCTTGAAATATTAGCAAGAAAGATATTCATATGAGTCAATGTATATACTTTAATATTTTAATAATCTTCCTGGTCTCAAAGCCACACTTCATTTAAGCTATATTTTACAGCAGCAGTCAGGGTCAATTTATACGAAAACTCATTAATGAAGTGATAGATGTATGAATATAAATGCACCACAAGAAACTCAGACTAGAAAATCACAGAAAAGGCAGAATATTTACTGAAGTGTTGTATTTAAATTGGCTTTTACAGACTTATTTTACTGGTGTTATAATGCCAGTTTATAATTAAAGATCGATGCTGCTTGGCACTCAGAGGGTTTTGCCTAGTTTATGAACAGATACCTGCATATTTTACTACAATTTTTTGTTTTTAAACCATGTGAATTTCCATCTCATATAAAAGAAGAACCTAACATTTGCCCAAGATCCAATATTCTTCCTTTTGAGTTCTCCTCACTGATGTCACAGTACACTGCATGCGGGTTATCCATGAGTATGTAAGAATAAGCTTTTTGCTGTGTCTGACCCACAAAATACTTCAGGTGCTAATACAATAATCTTTCTATTCATTGTTCTAGGAAAAAGAAAGGAGAGCTAGGAAATCTCTTGATTTGCCCATTTACCTCTTATAAGTTCTCCTTGTAGCTTATCAAGGGTATTTGATACTCATACGCTTAATTCTGCAAGTACTATTCACAGCACCTTTCTCCATTTTTTGTTGTCCATCTGCTGATGACAAAAAGATCCACTATACACGAAGCAATGCAAAATCTGTAGAGAGAAAAGAAATAACACTGTAACTAGAATAAGTGATGGCAGAAGACAACCTTTTTTCTGACAGGTCATTCTTCAGGACTTATTGAAGGAAACAAGCAGCCCAAAACTCAGATGGATTCAGACTCTGACTTAGGTGGAAGAAGGGTAACAACTTTGTGTTACACCACAAATACCAGCCCATAAAAAGCAAAAAAGTATATCTGTGTGAGAAAAGATTTAAAACCACCTTGGCCTCAAAAATAGGTTGTCACTAGAAAGTTTATTTGCTTTTTGGTCAGACCTTGTTTTTAATATTGTTTTTAATAATATTTAAAGTTGTACATAGTCATGGTGAAATTATCTAGTTATCAAATAAAATATTCATACATTGGGATACAGTGAAAAAGAAAAAAACATATACTACTAGATGATTGCTAAACTAAACATTATGCTTCAATGTTCTAGGAGAGCCTCATATTTGAAGCCTCATAGATGGCTAATATGCTTCAATTAGCATTTTTGTGTTTAATTCTGTGATAAGATTTGGTAAAATATTACATAGCATCCCTTTACATTAATGCTTTTAAAATGTTTTGAAAGGCAAGAGAGGGAGAAAAATAGTATCCTCTTCTTAAGAATTCTCATTGTTCTAGCAGATGCATAGAAATTGCAATGCAGCATTGGGCAAGAACGAACTAATTTTCACTATCACTTCCTGTAGTATTTGTTTTATCTTCATTTTTATTATAAAGGCAAGAATAACACACCTTTAATATAAGGCAAGGATAAGATTTATTCAAAAGTAGAACATTTGCATTCTACAGATCAGTAAAAGCTTTACAAATAATAATGAATTATATTTTACATCCCTACTGGCTTGTATTTCTATTTTACAGCAAAGAAGCAGAACAACCTGAGATGTCTCACTAAAGGTCACCTCACCCACCCACTGGCTTTTCAAGCCTATGCCCTAGCTAGAAATAAAAGCCCTAGGTAACCTGATTCCCAGTTATGTATGCTCATCACCAGGCAAAATTCTGCCAAGAGATTCAGAAAGCCAGGGAGAGCCATGAGTTTAGCAGAAATGTCACCTGCTAAGGCCTGACTTCTGTGGCATTGCTGTGTCAGTCAGAGTTGCACCCCTGAAGCTGCAGCACCCAGACCTGCAGCCTGGAAGAGAGCAGCACAGCTACTCATTTGGTGTGCTTGGTAAAGGAAGACAGCTTTGCCATTTTGGTACCAAACCTGACTTTGCTCTTGTAGCTCTTGTAGCTCTTTGTGTTCAAAGCACCTTTTTGATTCTGGGGGGTTGTCCTTGGCTGGCCTGGTACCCATCAAGCCGCTCTATCCCTCCCCTCAACAGGCTCAGCTTCACCCATAACTCTCCTACATCCTCCACCAAGGGAGGATGGGGAATGAGAGCTGTGGTCAGGTCATAACACACTCATCTCTGAGATCCTTCTTCCTTGCACTCTTTCCCTGCTCCAGTGCAGGGTCCTTTCCCACAGGTAACAGTTCTTCATGAACGTTTCCAACATGGATCCTTCTCATGCGCTACAGTTCCTCAAGAAGTGTTCCAGTGTGGGTGATTTCCATTGAGTGTAGTCCTTCAGGAATGGATTGTCCCAGTGTAGGCTCCCCATGGGCCATAGATTCAGAGAGGAAACCTGCTGCTGTGTGAGCTCCTCTTCACAGGCTGAAGTTCCTGCCAAGAGCCTACCCCAGTGCAGGCTCACCATGGGCTGTGGTTTCTCTCAGGGGACATGCTCTGGCATGCGGTCTTCCAAAGGCCACAGATTCCACCTGTTCCACCACAGACTTCCCATGGGCTGTCTGTAAAGGCCCCTTTTCATGAATGACTCCTGAACTCCTTTGATTGCTGTCAACTGTTGAGACTTTTCTACCCTTCAGATACTTCGACCAGCAAAGAAAAGGTATGAAGAATATTCTGTATCCTTTTTTTAAATGCCATACTCACATCAGTAACTCCTGTCTATCTAAGTAGATATATGGAATCCTTCAGGGCAGGCTTTGACCTGCCAGAATTAAGCATACAATATAGCAGTTCAACATACATCTATACAAGGGGCTGCCAACAGTCCCATTTCGGAATCATCCAGATACAAACCAGCTCACATGAAAGTGCCAGATGTGTGTTAAAACACACTGTTCCAGTAGCAATTAGCTACATCAAAAACCTTTTTTGCCATCCTGAGGTCTGCAGAGTCCTCATTTTGAACCCGTTTAATTATTCTTCATGGGTTTCCTCCTCAAGCTTTATCTCTTGAGCTACTGTGGATACTTACCACCATGAAAATCTAGACTGCTCTAAACTATGTTCCACTTTTGATACTGACAGTGGCATTGTTCTATTGCAAGAAACCCCAAACCCTAAACCCAAATTAAAAATAAAAAAACAGCCAAAATGAAAGGAGGAGAGAGAGAACAAAGGCTGTCTAAAAACTCACTATGCCAGTCTTTGTGAGTTCTCATATATAAGTCTGAACAATTTACACAAATTTCAGTGGAGTTCATTGATTCTGAGTTCTGGTACAAGGATCTCTGCATCTCTTAAAAGAGCTGAGTTTTCCTCTGAGACAAAGCTGAGGTAGTGTGTCTGGACAGGGCTCAAAACTGGACTGGAGAGCAGACACTAGTTCTGCAAAACTCACCGCAGATACTACTGAACAAGAAACCAGGATACCTGAGCAAGCCCAGAAGGACTGGGCTGTGTTGGAGTTCTAAATGGGTCACTGTAAACTGCATGCTGCATCCACATCTAATGTTGGCAAGCGAGGGAGAAGGTTGAAAAAATTGAAAAGTTTCTGATTAGAGGTTAGATGATCACAGTGGCCATCTCTGGCTTTAATCTTTGACTCTATGAATAAACAATGAGAGTATTTAGAGTGCAGAGGGAAACAGGGAAACCTTACCAGCAGGTGCTCAGTTGGGTTCCCAATAATATTCACTGCTGGATACCCTTGCTGGTCGGGGTCCACTGTTAATTGGATGGTGCTGAGAACACAAGGCTGGGCAAGAAATGATCACATTTCCCTGGGAAGCCTGTGGAGGTCTATCACCCATTGCAACTGGGGCACCAGGAAACTTTCAGCAAAGTTGGCAGCCAGATTCTCTGTTGACAGCTTCTGTGTTTGGAAAGATTGGTTGAGATAGGAAAGTGCTTTTTTAGGGCTGAGGGGAAAAGGTGAATGGTACTTCAGGGAAAGCTGTGAGAAATTTATTTTGCTGCTGATATTTATTATGATTGTGGCTGCAGTATATGCTCCAATTTATTATGATGCACATAAGATTAAGCAAACTGCACAGCTATACCATTATTAGGCAAAGGTCATTGCACTGGAAATGACTTTTAGGATCTATGAACACAAATATAAACTCACTTAAGTGTTCACTTGTTTTCACAGTGAACTCTGTTCTTGATGAACTGAAAAAAATCATTTATATAAAGGAGACTTGTAGCTCTCTTGCAAATCCAGTCTTTGCACTGGAATCACAGTAGCAATGAATGAAAAATGCAGTGAGAGAGAAAGCTCTTTCTTTCAAAATGTTGCCTCCATTTGCACGTACTTTTAAAAGTACTGTACACTATATCTTTAAGCAGATGGTATTGGTATGGGATTTCCCTATGGCATTTACTTGTTAAAGACTGATATTTTATAGAGAAAATAAAAGACAAAGGGGAGAATTAAAACAAAAGTGCATTAAATATCTTTTTGGTGTAAGACTGCAGCCTGATTGATTCTCTGAGCAACTAATTTTCAAAAAAATTCCTGCAGTATTGGCCTAAGCATCCTTGGAACTAGGGTATGTACAATATGTAGAGGAAGAGCAGCATCTGCTTAGTTTTTATAACATACTTCATCAAAATAATTTAAAACGCTCTTCCCCAGGATTAAAGGGTTTGTTAAAAATAACAGTATTAATGAACAAGATACAGTTTGATTCTGTCATCATCATTTCAACAAAATTACATACCCAAATGAGGTGAAACACTTCCCTTTGATTCCATCAAAGTCTTTTCTTAATGTGATATTAACCACTTTATCTTGGATTTTACATATCACACTAGCTGAGGTTTAGCTTTCACAGCTAACATTGTAATACCTTTGTAAGCATGTCTATAAACAAATGACTGGGCACCTTCAGTTGTTAAGGTCAACTTTATGATTGATGAGATGAAAATCCTCCCAGAAAATGTGCTATCCAATTTTGGAACTGAACATTAAAGGATGGGTCGTGTACAAAGTGCTAACAGAAAAGGAACAGAAGTTATATTGCCATCACAGTACTGCTGGCTGCCTTTGTCACAGAATCTTTTTCTTCTTTAACTCACCAAACCAGTCAGGAGCAATAACACTCTGTGTGAAAATGAGGTAGATCCAGTACAGCATAAACTTAAGTAGCTTTAACTTGAGCATTACCCATAGCCTGTTTCCCACAGATGTGTTGAATTCCAGCTTTGAGTTTTATTAAGCAATACATCACTTATGAGTTCCAATTTATTAGGAAGTAATACATCAAAATATAATAAAATAAAGTCGTTGCTAACAACTATGTGATTACTCAGCTCCTTACTGCAGGGGATACTTGATTTTTATATATATGCAATCACAGGTAGAGCTAGTCAACTCTGCCAAAAATGCCAGTGTATTGAAATTGCAACTTTCACTGAAGTTCAGATGAAACTTTTGTTGAAGTTTCTTTGCTCCAGGACAGAATTTCTGATCAAAATTAGAAAGTGAGAGAGGCAGAGAGACAGAGACAGAAGACAGCAAAGAGAATAGCCTTGTGCTTGTAACAGCCACAGAAATTTAAGTCTATTTAAAAAGACCCATGTCAAGAGTCTGGTTCCCTTGCAGTCCAAGTTCCTCACTGGAGCACTCCAATCTCATAACCTCTCTCATTTTCAAAAAGTTGTGGCTTTATCTTGCCACAACTTGCAAAATCTTGTAAAATAAAAACAGTTTTGAAGTTTCACCGAACTGCAAAGCTCTTTCCTACTCTCTGAATTGGAATTGAATCCTATTGTTTCCATAGCATTTTGTAAAGAAAGCATTGTAAAATTAAGAGATATGATACCAGCAAGGAGCTCAACTAAAATAGTTCCATGTATGCAATTAGGTAACCAGTCATTGAAATAGTTATTAAAATAGTTGTCAGATAATGATCTGCCACAGCCATGCTTTCTTCAATACGTCTCACTCTTTGCTCAGTTTTCTATGAAGAGAGGTGTTATAATTCTTATGTTTGTTATTTGGCCAACATTAATTTATACACAAAACATTAGCTAATTAAAGCAAACTCATATTATTAAGATGTGTTATTCCTGTGACAGATAACAGAATTTAAGCAAAATTATTATTTTTGTTCATTAGGCTACGTCTAGAAAATTCATGGCAACTTTCTGAATTCCTGTCTTCATAAAATTGTGTTCTTCGTTATATGTTTTAATAATTTTAATATAAAGCTTAATTCTATATTTTAGTCCAAGGCAATTAAATAAAGATAATTTTTCTTTTTCAAACTTTTTGGGAGTCTGCTGCTAGAACAATAGAAGCTTGGAGAAAAGAGGCAAGCAGAAACCTGCCATTTCCTATCTGAAGCTTACAGTGGAATTTGACCCTCTGTGCTGAATAACTGCGGACAAAATTTATTACTCCACAGGTACAGGTTCTTAAAATGAAAAAAAAATACAAAAATATAAAAAAGAAAAAAAGAAAACTAATACTGCATCGACACAAAAACCCCTTCTCTCTGATTTACATAATCTGCTGGTACAACACTATCATTGCCCTTCACCACACAATTAGTAAATTGTAACTTATGTTACAATTAAAAATTAATGAGTTGGAAGGGACCCATCAGAATGATAGAGTCCAGCTTCTTACAGAAAAGGATAAGGCATATCAAAGGAGTGCAGAGATATGGTTTGACCAGAAAACTAGGAGAGGTAGGGGGTAGGACTGAAAGTATGGGTGGCAGCAATTATTTTTCTGTTCGTATTCCTACTTCAAATTAAACCAGTTAGTAAAATAGCTCTAACTATGGAAACTCATCTCTGCATTGAAGACCAGATGCTCACAGTGTGTCTCAGGCATGCCTCTAACTCTTCCCTCCTTTCTCTACCAAATTTATGACTGGGCTTAATATACCCATCTAGATACAAACAATGTTTCTCTTTTATCCTGTTGACATGGTGAAGACAGACAGTCTTAACTTGTTTCTTTGCCTTGAATAATTAACAATACTGGTACAATTTCCAAAAACATCTTTCAAAACAAAACTATATTTTCTGTGTTGGTGCCATTACTAGCCATCAATGAAGAATCTATAGGAAAACTATATAAAATATTTAAACTGAAATTAAAATTGAAAGAGTAGGCTAGGTACATATTTAGGCTTCTGCTTCAATAATTTATTATAATTGCAGTAATGTAGCAGGGGAGCTGCTATGGCAAACATAGCTGTAGAATTACTGCTAGAAAGTAAGAAGAGTTTATGTAATAAATATGTTTCTTAAATCCAAATGAAGCAAAAGAAGTTGTAAATGTTATTTATAGTTTCATTGCAAGCAATGAGACTGGAATCAGATGGTGTAACTGAAAGATGGTGACTGTGCTTCCTTTCACAGGAATGTCATTTATCTCATGATTTTAGGTGAGGGCTCTGCTTCCAGAGGAAACCCACCTGCACCCTGTGACACTGCCCAAAATGTTCCCACTGTGTCTGCACTGCAGCACAGGCACCCACACATCCCCAGAGCTGCAGAGCCGTGGGCCAGAGCCGTGTCTGCCTCCTCCTCCTGCAGGGAATCGCCACTGCAGGAACAGAGATCGTCCGGAGAGAAGGGAAGCCAGGAGAAAGGAAAGATGGGATGACAGAGCAGGTGTGAAAGGACAGTCGGTGAAACAGAAGCAAAGGCCAGAAAACAAAGCTTTGCTCTTTTATTTAGCCTAAAAAAAAAAAAAAAAAAAAAAAAGAACAAAAACAAGAGAAAAGTTGAATTACCTTTCTTTTTTCTCCAGCACAGACAGAACATCAGGTGGAAAACACAGCTGTTCTGGGATGATGCAAACTTTCTGGGCAAACAAAATATGAAAGGTCACTCAACTCTGAACATCTTCACTGCAAAAGCTCTATTTTTTACCTTCTATAATGAATCCACTCTAGTTGTCTTGAGGTAAAAGCATAAAAGCATAACAATGGTACAGTACTGCAGTTTTACATTCAAATGGTATCCAAATCACATACAAACAGAGCTGTGGTAGAACTAAATTCTCCCTGAGATGGTCCTCAGGTGGTGCCACATTGAAGCAGCACACCTTTCACAGGGATAAAATGCATTACACAAGGATGTGGGAAAGGCTGTACTTAGGCTGTTTTTTGCATCAAATACACTAAAATCCACTTGCCCACTCTGGAGGAGGGGGTGAGGACTTGGGGAAAGGCACCATCAGTTGTCAGCAGCCAGTGAATTCAGTGTTCAGTGAGACACACAGCACTGAAACTGGCACATCTTTATCCAGACTCTCACTTCCATCACCAGAGTAACTACAGAAATAGAAGGGGACATTTTTAAAACAAAGTAAAATAGTTTTTTGGTTTGTAGAGCAAAAAACCATCAACTCATTCTTAGTCTGCAGTGTGGTGATGGGCTGTTCTGAGAACAAACCCCAAAAGAAAACACTGTAGACCCAAGGCAAGGAAGGCAACAGGGGCAAGAAAGAGGTCTCTATTAATTTCGAGCTGTCTTGAAGTGGCTGTGAGATAGCATCAGGACAGAGATTAAGCTGGGCAGAGGGAGTGTTAGATTTCCTTTTGGTGCTCATACTCTGAATTTCTGTTTGGAAATTTAAAAAGTACTTGATTCAACTGTCGTTAAAATCACAGAATCATTTAGCTTGGAAAAGTCCTCTAAGATCACCAAGTCCAACCATTAACCTAAGCACTGCCAAATCCACCACTAAACCATGTCCCTGCGTGTCACATCTACATGTCTTTTAAATGTCTCTGGGGACTGTGTCTCCTCCCTGGGCAGACTGTTTTGGTACTTTATAACACTTTCAGCGAAAAAAATTTCCAATATCCAACTTAAATCTCCCCTGGTGCAATCTGAAGCCCTTTCCCCTTGTTCTGTTACCTTGGAAAGGAGACCAACCCTTACCTTGCTCTGGCTGCCTTTCAGGTAGTTGGGGAGTGACAGGATCCCTTCTGAGCCTCCTTTCCTCCAGGCTAAGGAATCCCAGCTGCCCCAACTGCTCCTCAAGATTTGTGTTCGACCCTTCTAAGGAAATAACATTTACCTGGTTTGTATGTCTTAGTTCCAGCTCCCCTCAGTGACTGGTGAATTGTTTTGCCTGCTTAAGCCACCTCTACATGTGTTGGAGGTATTGAGGATGTAAAGTTATCCAAACATCACAGAAGCACACAGCTAGGTGGAGAAGGGAGACACAAGTCTGTGTCCCCACAACAGGGACTGGCAGGAGCTCAGATGTCATTTGGACACCCAAGCAGTCTCCTTTTGATGCTCAGGAGCTCTCAAGAGTGCTCCAGCCACAGCAATGATATCCAACAAGGCAAAACCAAACAGTGCACCGTGGAAAACCAAGCCACATATTTTTTGCTATTCTTAAAGTGTAGCTGATTTCCCCAGAAAGTCCTTTGAAGCCTTAGAGCTGGCATGTAAACCTAATGAAACGCCTTGCAAATTCTATAGGCCATAATGATTTATTTTCTCCAGTTGGTTTTTCCAGAGCTAGAATTGAAATTAAATGCACACATATCAAAATTTCACATTAGGCAAGCCTAATCTATACCTATTTGCACAAAACATGATGATTTCCACAGCCCCAAAGGTTGCATACTCTATAAACTTAGTTGTAGTAATTTTTTATATTAAGAAGATATCTTCACAGCCAGAAGGACTAGAAATAACTTGGGTTCTATTCAAAACTTTCTAGCTTCTAGAAAACACATTCATGACCCTAAAGTAAAAAAATTAAAAGCAGAAATACATAAATAAAAAGGCCTACCATTTCAGAGATTAGTGTAATGTAAATGACATTACATTAAAATCTATAATTCTCCCAGAACTTCAGCAGTGGTTCTCCGAGCACAAGCAATAGTGATTGCATTTTAAAGTACTATACTTTTTCCAAAATAAGGAAGCTTAGGCAAGAAATTTGACATGAAAACGCAAGTTTATAGAATCTTACCTGGAACTATTAAGGGCAAGTAATAGAAAAGAACAGCTAGCTATTTTTTCTCTTACTACTTTGTATGGAATTATGCAAGAACAATTTCCCTAGATTATCATAATTAAGCAATAGAGATCGTACTTTTGTTTCAGCAATAAATATTTTCCCATTTCCATTTGCACCACTAAGTAGCTCAAGAAATATTTACATTCCTTGCACTATGCCATGTAAAAGCTGTAATGAGAGTAAAACAAATTGTTGGGATCACTTTTTAGAGCAACAAATCCTGAAAATATTATTAAATAAAAAGCAGAGTTTTCTAGTGGCACCCACAGAAATCTGGACCAGAGTTTTGAAATGCCAGTCTGGGTTTTGGGTACCTAATTTGCACAGTTTTAATGAGACGTGAACTGTCAGTTTTACATTTTACAAATGCACACTTTAGAAATCTCAGCTCTACACATTCAAAAAATATTATTATTAAAAAATATGTATATAGCAAGCGTCAATATTCCTGACCCTACATTGTCCATTACCTGTACGTAACACTTTAATGTAGAAAAGATGAAATCTTTCTGATATATTTTTTATTTCACCAATAAAAAATAAAAATATAAAAATAAAAATATTTCACTGACAAAAACTGCCAACCTTCTTTCTTTTAACTATTTTCAGCTTTTATTTTTCACTCAAGTAGATGATGGTTTCCTGTGCTCTTTTAATTGCCTATTCTAAGCTGTGATTTTTTTTGTTGGAATCATTAGCATAATATAAGGACTGGAGCATAGGTATTCCCCTTGCCAGATTAATCCTTTCCACCTGATTTGCTAGGGCATATGTTCTAATAATTGTGTTTTTCCTCCTGAAAATATATTTGCTCACCTAGCTACAGTCTACTATTATTATTATTATTAAATATCCTTCAAAAAGGTAGTTGAGTTGTTTGGGGTCTCTTATATTTCCAATTTCCCTTTTTTTCTTTACTGTTCACCTTAGAAACTGGTAGAAAGTGTTACTTCTTTTTACTCAAATGGTCAAGCAAAATATGCAGATGTCCAAGAAAAACAGCTGATAATAAAATTGGGCACTAGACTTTGTTTACAGAAATTCTATGCCTATTCCACAACAAAATTAATGCCTAAATAGCAGAGGCTTTTTCTTGACTTACAGATCCAGGTCTTTTGAGCCAACCCCTTGCCAAAATCCTCCCTTTGTCATTTCTTTTTCTCAAGACCACACTGTAAGAGCTTTGTCTCTGTGTCCCTGTTGTGCTTAGCTGTCTCCCTGTCTCACACACTGACAGTTTCAAACAAATTCCTCATCTCTGCATTTTTTTCAAAATCTTCAAAGAAAATGCAACTGAATGGTCTGACTCACGGTCCAAATTTCTGGGTGATGGCCTCCTGTTGTTTACCAAAACAGAATTTAATTTTTCCTTGATTTACTTTAAATAAAATATGGTTTTCAAAAGATTGTTATACATCTGCATCCTCTCTCTTCCTCCCCTAATATTAATTTTGTCCTTTGCCTTCATAGCAAAGAAAATACCAATTTCCCTTGTGCTGTGATAAGAAAGAAAGCAACGATTTTCATATGATACAAATTAAATATGGATCTTATTTCATGTTATACATATATTTTTTGCATCAGAGCAATTTTACCTCAACCCAAATTGGTTTTGTGGCTGTCCAAGCCTGCCTCACTGCTTCCCACCCAATTTGCTTTCAACCACCCAGGATGGGCATCTTTCACTGAGCCCCTGAGGAATGTCTGTTGTTGCTGAGAATTCTGCTGACTGAGACAGGTCCTACTCATTTTGTTCTAATGGAAAATTCATCTCTGTCACAGGAGTATCCTGCCATCAGTCTGTGCCAAGAACTCACATCAACATCAATGGGAGTTTCGTGTGCATTGTGCAGGTAGAGTATAATCATCATTATTTATTAAACACTAATGGAGTCCCAGGCCCCGATCATTAAAAGTTACAGTTGAGATGCAGTTTGTATAAGACTGGTGATTCTTTAGGAGTGGTGGTATTTTCTTCTATTCCCTGTTTCTTTGCTGTGTTTCCACAATATTTATTATGAGAAGTGGGTGGGTTTTTGCCTCAACAATTAGTCTAAGTGTGAACTACTGCAACTATTTGGATAAACCAGCTAGAAAAAGTGTATTATGACTATTCTTCTAGAAAATTACCTGCATTAAATGCAGGGTCTAGCTAGTCCTGTATATGTTTGATAGTGATCAAAATGTATAATTTGTCCTGTAATTTGCAAATGTCTCATATTTACCTCTCCTAGGATTATGTTGTTTTCTGAGCAACCCGCCAAAGTCTTCAAAGATAACCAGGATAAATAAGTGATCCAACATTTATTTCATTACTTGCATAAAATTTGCCTAACTCACCATCTTGTGCAAACCATGATTTTTTTATTCTTGCTGTTTCCTTTCATTTAAAAACCAAACAAGTCTGTGAAGCTCCTGATTTATTCTCAGTTTTCTGTGTTTACTTCACCTGCCTTTGTGATCACAGGACTTGACTAAGGCGAAGCCAGCAGCTCATGGAATTATTTCAGTGACTGTTTAGTCCAGAAATTAGTCTCCTGATGCACCAAGCTGTTGCACTCTTAGCACATTGCATTTGATCCAGCCAGATCTACTTTTCCTTGTTCTGTTATTAATGAGAAAAAACAGACCTAAAGCCTTATTTGGTGCTATTGATCACATTTTGCCCCACAAATCACTCCTCGTGCACAATCCTTCAGCTGCCTCCTGTGAGGAATTCAGCAAGTGCAGAGTGAATTTCTAATCAGCTGCGACTGTTCAGCACTAGGGCTGGCAATTATGCTCCCAGTGCCTGTATCTGCAAGTGTTATACATTT